TCATACAGTTACCGACATGCTTCCAGCTCCCTTCCAGAACAGACTATACAATCCATCGTCTATAGCCAAGCCCTTCGATACAACCGCATCTGCTCTAATCCCATTGACAGAGACCAGAAACTTCAGGATCTCTACCAAGCATTTATAAATCTCAACTACCCACCCGGAGAAATAAAAAAGCAAATTGAAAGAGCCAGACGAATACCTAGAAACCAACTACTTCAAGACAGACCCAAGAAAACCAACAATAGAACACCACTTGTCATCACCTCCAGCCCCCAACTTAAACCTGTCCAACACATTATCAATAAACTACATCCTATACTGGAACAGGATACTAAACTCCAAGAGGCTCTGGGAGACAGACCCATAGTCTCCTATAGACAACCACCTAACCTCAAGATGATTCTTACCAACAAACACAGGACATACCACACTAATACCAACCCTGGTACCTTCCCTTGCAACAAACCCCATTGCCAGCTTTGTCCACATATTCACTCTGCTGATACCATTATTGGACCTAACCAAGTGAGTTATAAGATCAAGAACACATATACCTGCTCCAGAAATATAATTATATCCAGAAATATAATTTATGCTATCATGTGCCGAAAGTGTCCGTCTGCTATGTACATTGGACAAATGTCTCAGACACTTTGCCAAAGGATCAATGCCTACAAAACAGATATTAGACAGGATCACAAAGAAAAACAGTTTCTTGCCATTTCAACCAGCGCGGACATTGTCTCAACGACTTGATTACCTGCATCCTGCTTCAAAGGCCTTTTAAGACTACACGTGAAAGAGAATCCTCTGAACTGTCATTCATGCTTAAATTCAACACTTTACACTTAAGTTTGAATAAAGACTCTAATTATCTTACCCGTTACAAAGATAGCTTCTCCAATTATCACCTCTAATATCATTAGCTCACAGACATTTACCTCCCACCCCCATCCTCCTCCTGTTCTGAAATTTGATTTGTCCTTTTCATATGTGTTCATTTTTTTAATTGTATCCTTTGGTATATATGGTTGTGACAATTTTCTTCCACTATTTGATCTGAAGAAGTGGGTCTGGCCCACGAAAGCTCATCACCTAATAAACCATCTTGTTAGTCTTTAAAGTGCTACATAGTCCTGTTTTTTGTTTCAGCTACACCAGACTAACACTGCTACATTTCTATCACTATTCTACAGTTAGTATAGCTACTATAGAAATGCAGCACACATAACACAAAAAAGAGTTGCACATTACAGTCCATAACGGGTTGAAAATCACTGGATCAGATACAGAGTGATCCTATCAGTCTGCCAACTCTGGGCCATTATCACCTTAAGCAACTTCTGTCTATGCCATCAGATTTAGGAGCAAAGTACTTGTACACTGAGATTTGGGTCAAGTTCTGTCCTGAATCTTGAAACCCTGCTCAGATGGTATGAACATGTCTTGGTTTTGGTCAGCATCACTGGGCTCAGAGCCTACTAAGCGGATGAATGAGGCTGCCTCTCATTACCAATAGTGGGTCTCATTTCTCTTACAGCCAATCTATTTGGGAACACGCAGTTCAGAAATTCAGCATAAAGAGGAGGCTTAGTGGGGATTAATCAGGTCAGGTTCTTTGAGTGATTGCTCACGTCCATCCCACATTGGGGGTGGATACTTGCCATGTGCACCGGTGCTGGAAGTTTTTTTCCCTAGCAGCATCCATAGGAGAATGGCTCTGGCAACTCCTAGAGTGGCAACAACATGACATGGTACAAGAGGCACAGCGCACTCCACCATCCACAGTTCCTTCTTGCTGCCAGTGATTCATCATAGCTAGATTGCCTCAGTTGAGCAACTCTGCAGATAGTTCTTCAACCAGTTGATAAGTTAGTTTACATAGAGTTTGTTGTCCTGGATGAGATGGCCTAGGAACAGAGCATGCCCAGATCCCCAAGCTTCAAAACTTGTGTTTCGTGCAGGTGCCCTATGCCCATGAGTGACCCACATGAAAGGTGTCTATGGTGTCTCGGCAAGGGGCACATTAGTAACCAATGCTCAGTTTGTAGATTTTTTTTGAGGGACATTCCTAATAGAGTCACAGTGTTCCCAGTAGAGGAGCAGGCGCCTTCCTCAACCCTGGGCACTATGCCTCCAGTGTGGAACATCCCTTTGGAGCCTTCATGGTGTTGGCACCGCTCACCCTCCCCAATCCTGGTGTGGAAGGGTGAAGTCTTCAACCACCAAGGGAAAGAAAGAAATAGAGAGAGGAGCCTAGACCAGTGTTGGGCAGCTCATCACCTTTGCCAGTTCTAGAAGTGAGATGTTTGAATTCTGGTCCCTCAGATAACTGAGCCAGTAGAAATTTGGTTTGTAAAGCTGAGCATGTGCATGAAATATGCCCCGCTGTGAAAAGGGTGTTCTGTCATAGGTATGCTCTATTATAACGATAGCACTTTATAGCCATCTGTCTCAGTGATTTATAAGAGAAAGCAAGTGTCATAATCACCATGTGGGTAACATAAGCCCAGAGATTGAATTGTTTGCCCGAGGTGCACAAGAATTGGGTGGTGGCACCAGCAATAGAATGGGTTTCCTGAGTCAGTCCAGAGCCCTGTTCTCTGTGCCACTCTGTGTTTCCTTGTTATATACAGTCCTATTTTTGGAAGTATAACGTCTCAGATTATCGGGTGTTTGTCTTTGTTGAAAAAAAATTTTAGACATTTGGTAAAACCCCTTTTGGTCACACTAAGGTTTATTGTATACAGTTTGCTTTCCAGGAATGCTGCTTTTATTTTTTCTTCACTGTAGTGGGAAATGCCTTCCTTTTACTATAAACTGTATCTTCATGAGCACTATTAATGTCTTACGAATGTCTCAAGAAACTTGGCTTACAGAATTATGCCATTATAAACATTGGTGTTTTTATTAAACAAGCTGCTTTTATTGAAATGGTGCTGACCATCTCTTTGAATTTGCAATCCCATAAGTTTAATAGAAGCATCTCCATTTAGTAAAAGACATGAAACCCAGGAACAGTGGAAAAGGACAGTCCTTTCAGAGCAGAGCTTATACTACTGTTTATTTGTATGTGGCATTTAGATACAATAGTGGGTGTAGTGCAGGAGTGGGCAATAATTTTTGAAGGGGAGGGTCACTCCAAGATTTTGGTAAGAGATCAAGGGCTGCACTTTTCTAAGGAGGAAGTGCAAAGTCTGGGATGGACGTTGGGTGCAGAAGGGAGGGTAGGGATTGGGGTGCAGGGTCAGGGAGAGGATGGGGTGTCAGAGTAAGGCTCTGGCTAGAAGTCGTTTACTTTAGGCAGCCCCTGACCAGCAGCCCAATGGGGACCCTGAGACAGACTCCCTGCTTGCCGCTCAAAACAGCTAGAGTCTCCCTCATGTGCTGCTCTGCACTGCATTGGGGGGGCAGGGGGAGACTTCATGCTCTGTCCCCAACCCCAGCCCAATCTTTGCAGCTCCCATCGTCCGGTTTCACCATTGTGTTTCTGTTTGGGTTTCTGGCCAATGGGTGCTGCGATGATTGGGCTGGGGGTGGGGGTAGCGCATGAAGTCTCTGCCTCTCCTCCCCCCAACCAGGTGCAGGGCACCTAAAAGAAGCCACCAGCTGTTCTGAGCAGCCTCTGACTGCGGCATCCAGGAAGCCTGCTTCAGGGTCCCAGCAGGGTGGGCTGGATCAAAAGGCTTGGCAGGCTGTATCCCACCTGTGATCTGTACCTTGCCCACCCCGGTGAATTACAAATGGGGAGATGGAAATAGGTTTGAAAGCAGCATTTACTAGGCTTTTTTTCTGAAAAGAGCATTGTTAGGTGATATATCATGGCTGAAATTTTGAGCACAAATCTGGAAATTCAAAGGGATTTTTCTCAAAACAGCTGTTGCCTCATCATTGCCAGCATGTGTATTAGTACTGTGTTTCTACTCATAAAATGAATCAAAAATCACATTCAATCGTGTACAACCTAGAATTATATAGATGAAGGCCTGGAAAGGACCTCCATAGGTCATCTAGTCCATTCCCCTGCACTGATGCCTTACTTGTATTATCTAGATCTTACACATGCAGTGTTGCTTGTGTTGCGTAAATTTGGTATTTGTTCACGGAAATGGCTCACTAGTTCTTCAACTATCCTTTTGTGCTTGCAAATATTTGTTTTACGTACTCTGGTGCTATTATTCTCTTCACAAAAATAGATGCAATGGTTTAAGTATCTTTGACAATCAGTTTAAATACTATATGTTTAAATACTAGCTCATTTAGGTTCTGATTATACATTTAAATATTTATTTTTCCTCTCTGCTTAATTGTGTCACAGGCACTTGCAATTTACAGCGAAGATGGCCCTATTTATCCTGCTTGTCAAAAATAGTTTCACCGGTATGTTTATTTTTGAGAGTAGAATTACAGCACCTGAGTATACAAAGCAAATACTGAAAAGATATTTGTAGCTAGGGACATAAGTGACTGGTCGACTACCCAATATACGTAGGCTCATCGAGTAGTCAAGTCACTACTTGACTAGTCACTTCCCCCCCTCCTTTGCTGCCTCCATGTCAGAGGCAGCAAGGGGGAGGAGCAGGAGCCAGTGCTGGAGGGAGCCAGCTTAAAAGCCGGTTCCCCCCAGCACTGTTTCCATGGGGGGAGCAGTGGGGAAAATGGCGTGAGTGAGGACTCAAGCAGTCCTTGCTTGCACCTGGTCCAACTGCTGCACCTCTGCCTTTTAAATGTAGTAAGAGCTGTGGGGTTCTTGCTACGTTTAAAAGGAAGAGGCACAGCTGGGATAGCAAGTGCCCCAGTCTCCCCTCCCCCACCTTATCCACTAATTGAGTAGTCAATGGAAAATCCATCTACTACTCGATTAGCTGATTAGCCAAAATTTAACATCCCTGATTGTAGCAGCAGCAATCATTTTACATAGTTATTTGACATGTTACTGATTTTGCTGGAGGTATCTTTTTAAATTTTCTGTGCTTTGTCCATCTGTTTCTTAGATTGTCTTTAGCATTGATCCACCAGAAGGCACGTCCAGTTCCATGCCAATTCAGTCAGTATCCAAGTATTATAAGGTATGGTGTGTTTTGGCACTTTCTCTCTGGTGTGTCGTGGGTGGGGTGTTGCAGTCAAGAGCAGACAGTGCAGAAATCAGTGGAGGGGACTACATAACATCCAAGAATGTTGTTGGATTCCAGGAGATGAGAATCTCGCAGGCGGGAGTCAAGGGGATGTCAAGTTTTTGCATACTATGTGGGGTTAGAGTCCACTGCTAAAGTTCCAGGAAAAAGAGAACATCTTATTTTTAGCTCTTAAATTTCTCCTAACAGCCTAGGAAGCAAGGAGATGCTGTGATTGTGAATTACAGGAAAACTCATATGCCACATGCTTCTGTTAAAGAATTAGGCCATCTCTACACTATGGATGCTTCAGGCTGCACAGCTGTGGCACCATAGCTGTTGTAACATCATAGTGCAGATGGGGGGAGTATTGTTGAGAGGGGGGGCACACCAAGAATTTGGTAAGTGATCAAGGGCTACCCTCCTCCAGGATATTAATGGAAGGCATGTGTTGTCTGGGATAGAGGTTGGGTGCAGAAAGGTGCTCAGGGAGGCGATTGGGGTGCAGAAGAGGGTGCAGGGTCTGGAAGGGGGCATGGGTGCAGGAGAGGATTCTGACCTGATGGAGAGGTATAGAAGGAGTGCAGGGTCTGGAAAGGGGTTGTGACCTGGGGCAAGGGTGCAGGATGGAGTATAGGCGTTTGGGTTGTGACCTAGGGCAGGGAGGGGGTTGTAATCTGTGACAGGGAATTGGGGTGCAGGATCTGGGAGGTGGTAGGTGTGGAGGAGAGGATTCTGACTTGGGGGAAGGGCATAGTAGGGGGTAGAGGGTCTGGGAGGCTGTTGTGACCTGGGGCAGGGGTTCAGTAGGGGGTGCATGGATTTTGTTTGTGACCTGGGACAGAGGATTGGAGTGTAGAGTTTGGGAGGCAGTCTGGATGCAGGTGGTTTGGGTTAAGTGGGGTAAGAGTACAGGATGCGGGGGGACAGAGAATTGGGGGGAGGGGCTGGAGGGCCAGAGGCAGGGGCTGGGTAGGAGGTGCCTACCTAGGACTGCTCCTGGTCACCAGTCCAGCAGTAACCTTAGCCAGGCTGCCCTGCCTCTTCACTCCTCTCAGGGCAGCTGGCTGCAGAGGCCTGTGTGTCTCTGAGCATTGCTATGAGTGAGAGGGGAAGAGGGAGAGGCCAGTTTCCAGCCAGTGGGAGCTGCGAGATTGTGCTTGGGTTGGGGCAGCTCGTGAAACCTCTCCTCGCTCACGGCTGTGCTCAGAGATTCTCAGGCCTTCACAGCTGATTGATCTCAGCAGCATGCAGGGGCGGAACAGACAGCCATATTTTGCTTGGCCCTGGGGTAGATGCTTCCTACATTGGTGGAAGGGAGATTTTTCTGTTGCTGTAGGATTTCCACCTCCCAGATCAGCAGAAGCATTCTTCCAGCAATCTAGCTGCATCTAAACCAGGGGTTAGGTCAACACAGCTTCGGTGCTTAGGGGTCTGAATTTTTTAAATGCCTGAGTGCCATAGTTATGTTGAACTAACTTTTAAGTATAGAGTAGGCCTTATTTTCCTAAACTAATTTCTTGGGTGGCTAGATGTCATCCTCTTCATTCCAACACAGGGATTCCATGCGCTGGAGTGCATTTGCTTTAAAAACAACAGCACTCCTCTTCTTTCGTGGTTGTCCACCAAGAGACACATGCTTCATCTGTAGTAGTTCTCTTCCCCAAAAAAAGTTAGCGCAAGAAATGGGGCATGAAGGATTTGAAATGAACTGTCCTGCATAGCAATGGGGAAAGTTAATCTTGTTTCTCACAGGAAAGAATTGCATTAATTATGGCACTATTTATTTTTCTCTTCCCACACTAAATTCAATAAAACCCTGTCCATCAAAAGAGAGCAAGAGAATGTAGTTTAATGTATTAAAATACGTGGAATATGGGATACACTGACCTTTCAGTGTAATACTAAATGTTAGGACATGTCTTAATTTTGGATAAATGGATCTCTGTGGATGAGGACTTTGCAGAAACTAGTTCCTGTTGCATTTGATAAATAGAATTGAGTGTTTCATCCTGCAGATGTTCTGAAGGCATTTTGGAAAGGGTCTGACCCTTTGAAGGGCAGATCTCATTTCTTTAGACTCTGAGGATTGCAAACATCAACACTTTCCTTCCCCGTTATCCGGCATCAATTTTTAATTTTAGCATTCAACTGTCAGGCCACTTTCCCACCTGCATTGTCTGTTTTACAGATCCCTTTGGGTAGAGAAATGTAAGATATTAGAATGATAGGGATGGGGAAGAAATTTGTGCTCAGTAAATCTGCCCTACGTTGGCTGATCTTAATCTGCTTGCTTTTTTATCAGTTTCCCCTCAATCCTTTCCTTCTCCAGAATGAATCATGTATATTCTTAGTATCGGTCATTTTTCCTGATAGTTTAGTCCATGTGTTTATCCCACACTTGAAATTATTCTACTAGTGTTTCTCCTTAACTCCTAACTGCTAATTTTTAGGTTGCCCATAGTTCTTGAACTCTTTTCTAGGGATGTTAGAGATTGTGTAATTGAATAGTCAAGTAAGCGCATTAAATTCTAGTGGTTACCTAACTATTCAGTAGTCTCTGGGGGGCAGGGCCAGCAGCCAGTATGCTTCTGAGCCCACTCCCAGCGAGCCCCCTGCCATCCTGCGCTGCTGCCTCTGTATCAGAGGCCGCAGCATGGGGTGGCAGGTGGGAGACGGTCCACGAGGGGAGCCAGTTTTAAAACCAGTTCCGTGCACAGACCAGCTCATCTGTTGCCCCACGCTGCTGCCTCTGATATGGAAGCAGCAGCATGGGGTAGCTGCAGCCCTTGTCCATGGGGAGCTCAGGCCTGCTGTGGACAGAGGCTGCTTTGTGGCAGCCTCCCTGTCCCCCCTAACACGCTGCTGCCTTTAATAGAGGTACTGGGGGAAAATCAGCTCTTAAAGCTCCCCCTAGCACCAGCTCCAGCCTGCTCCCTCCCCCCGCTGCCTCTGTAGGAGGCAGCAAGGGGAGAGCAGGTGGTTCCAAGGGAGCCAGTATGCTTGGGGAGCTGGCTTGAAAGCTGGCTCCCTGTGTGTATTGGCTCCAGCCTATCCCCCTCACTGTCCATGCTGCTGCCTCTCCATTATAGGCAGCAGCACTAGGGGAGGGAAGGTGGATCCGGTGTTCATGGAGATACAGAGGCATCAAGAGCGGGGCTGGAGGGGAATGCATGTAAACAACAAGATTAACTGATAAGCTCAGCCTTAGTGGTTAATCATGTAGTCACCTACAGAAAGACATCCCTACTTTTTACTTGCATGAACATTTTCTTTTTTCTTTGCTTTTCTCATTTTGGAAACATTTGAGATGTTTCCTCCTCTCCCTCCAGTGAAGAGAAGCCAGTCTTTCTTCATCAGAAATTTGATTCTTGAGACTTTATATTTTGTTTCCCTATATTCAGCCTCCCATTCTAATAATATTGTAATTCTGTACACTACACTACATCCCAAATGGGAGATAACAGGTGCTATGCTAAATAGCTGTTCCAACAATTTGTTTCAAAATATCAGTTTGAATGGTGGTGCCTTCCTGTAGTTTTTATGGGGTGGTTTTTTGGAGGTGTGGGGGTGATATGAGGAAAAGCAAATGCCAACTACTATACACGTTATAAGAACTACTGGTGAACCCTAGGGCAGGCCCTAGGCATATGGGGTTGCAGAGACTTCTCATTTCTATAGCAGTCTGTGAGAAGATGCTGTCATATGTCTATTTTTTCCACAGGTGCACATTCATATGGATGCCAGTAATCAGAAAAAAAAGCAAAGGACAGACCTATGGAGTTCATCAGTAACAAAACAAGAAGGTGCAGGAGTGGGCTCTGGTGGGAGGTTAATACAAAAGCCAGTTAATAAGGCCTCCCCTGACTTAAGTAAAATAAAGTATTGGAAACTATCCCAGCAGTTGAAAATGCTCGTATAGCAAGCACCTCAGTCTGCAGTCCTACACACTAAAGCTCGCCATTACAGAGCTGTGCATGCAGCTCCGCCTTGTCTGTCTTAAATGTGGAAATAGTTGTCCAATGACATACTAGGATCACAAATGGAAATGTGCTCTGATTAACTAGTCTGTTCCTCCACTCGCTGCGCAGCAAATACACTACTATTTTTAATGCACTGGCTTTATTAGTGCTAACTCCTCTGTTTCCTTTAGATGGAAATTACACTTCTGTTTCCAGCGTAGGCATGCCATAAAAGCATGTTGTGTTTTGTCGGTATCTTCTTTCCTAATTTTAGCACTTGTGGAGGCTGGGTTTTTTTCCGTGTAAAAATACTTATCTTGATATCAAAACCAATTTATTTTTAGGAATATCAGTAGTCATAGGCCTTCAGCTTTTGTTTTTGGATCCTCCCCTCTAATGTATTTCTAGGAAATAAGTGTTGAGTTGTGTGGTGTTGTCTCTAAATTGAAGCCAACATAAATTATCTCGGATAACTTTCGGGTTTTGTTTTCTTCAGATATTGTGTAATCTTACTAGTCTGTTACAGGAATTTTCCTGGACAAACTTGATTGCATTGCATGGGGGCGGGGGAAGAGCAAATAGTATTGTGTGTTTTGGTTGGTTGGTTTTACATTGTTCAAATGTTTTGTGGACATTAGCCTTGCAAAATTGTCACAAAAAATCATCCAGTTTACCAGGGACAAAATATTTTCTTGACCTCTTTTTCAAAACAAGAAATTACTCGTGACAAGCTAGTTAGTAAATTTATAACATCTACATATCCCACAAATGGTAAAAATAGCCAAAAGCAAATCTCTCCTCAGCTCAGGCAGTAATGCTGAGAGGAGCCTGAAGAATAATGCTTTTCAATGGATTTTATGGAGCTCTGTCTTGACTGAGCTCACTAAAAAGAGTTGAACACATTGGGCTAAATTCTGGCTTTGGTTTACATATACACACACAGTCACAGGAACCACAGGCTATAGCTGTTCTTTGTTCCAACCTTGGCTCCTCCAAAATCCAGGGAATTGATACTCTGAAAGCTCCTTGCATGTTCAAAGAGAAAGGATGTTTCAGGAGCGGGCTTAAGAATTGGGGACGAAGGGTGTTTCTCTGAGCGTCTTGCTCACCTGGTATTACCTGTGCTGCTTGCGTGAGTGTCTCTATTAGGGATGTAAAAACTTGTTTAAATGGCTAACTGGCTAAATATGTTTAACTGATTAACCCATTAAAAGGGGATGAGCAGGAGGGAGCAACCCCACCACTAGGCTAGAGCGACCTCCCTTCCCACTCCAAGCTGGAGCAGCTCCTGCCTACGGTGGGCTAGGACACCCTGCTGGCAGGCAGGAGCTGCTCTGGCATCTCCATCAGAGCAGTCCCCGGGACACTTGGACCTGCTGCTGGCAGGGGCTGCTCCACCCAGAGCAGTCCCTGTCAATGTCACCGCCCCCCCAACTGGTTAAAGCTTCACATCCCTAGTTTCTACTCTCTCTCATGGGCCCACTCCCAGACCTATCCAAGTACAGATCCATTTAGAGACTGCCTCTGTTATGCTGATTGGTACCAGTTTGGTATACAGTGAGAGGTTTTCTCACAGTCTCTGAATATAAATCTAAGGGTTTTAGTATCTCTTGAGTGTGCTTGCCCAAGGGCAGAGATGAAAGTAACTTGCATTTCTTACAGGTACTAACGTATCACACCCGCTGAGGGGGCCTCAAGGCAGGGGTTGGGAGGAGAATTGTAATAAGACAATACCTGTAAGAAGTGAAAGTGTGGGGTAGAGTGTGGGGAACTGAGGGCAGGGGTTGTGGTGAGGGTGGGTGGGCTCAGGGTAGAAAGTGGGGATGTATGTGTGAAGAGTGCAGGAGTCTGGGCAGGAGCTTGGTGGTGTGGGGGCTCAGGGCAGGGCACTGGGTGTGTGTATGGGGTGGAGAAGGTTGAGGTGTGTGAGGAGGGGCTTGGTGTAAGGAGTGTATGGGGGCTCAGGGCAGGAGGCGGGGGTATGTATGGATGCAGAGTTCCGGGGGGGAGTAAGGGTGCTATTTAGTGAGGGCAGGGAAACTCAACCCTTCCCCCCCCCCCTCCCAGATTCACACTAGGAGGCTGAGGTGCTTGCTGTTTACTTTTGTCACGCTCCGGGAGCAAGAGGGATACTCGCAGCATGGGTCACTCATTCCTTTGCCCCCTTTCCTCCCTTCTCCAGCCAGGAGAGAGAGGAATGCACACACGCTGTGTGCTTTGCTCTTGCTCCCCTAGGAAAAGAGGAGCAGCAAGCAGCATGGCCCTAGTAATCTGGGGGGAGCTTCCTAAATAGCAGCATGGAGGGGGCTCAGGTCTGGGGCAGTCATGTACCAGTGGGGCAGCACGCCCCCAGCCAGCCCCTTAACCTGTCTGCCTGCTGCTTAGCAGGAATCCCGGGCAGCCCAGTGGGGAGCGCGCCACACTTCCTCCTGCAGTCAAGTGCTCCAGCCCACCAGCTCTTCCTTGCTAGCGCGGACTCCGGGGCACACCGGCTTACTTTAACCTCTGCCCAAGGGGCTATGTGAGGGAAGGAGAGTAAAACATAGTTTAAAGTAAGACCCCTCCTTCCCCAGTGACGGATAGTGTGTGACTCACTTGAGAAATGCAGCTGAGGCAGGGTTGGATGAAGCTTTCGTTTAGCTCTGCAGCAGAAGTAGCAATTCTTGACTTTGACCAAGAGGGGCCTAGTTTAAGGTATGGGTGATGGGTGATGTTTTGGGGGCTCTTTCATGGTCCCTGGCCTTTCTTCAGTCACTTGTTCTATTCAAAAGTGGGGGTTTCTATATTGAGAAGAGATGTTGCCTGCTTTCTGCCCATGCTGCCAGGATGGATAAAAACAGCCCAGCACACTGTGCTCTCCAGTGCTCCATCAATGCATGAAGGGGTGTACTTCTTGATCCTGTCTATGCCATGCTATGGGGACGTCCCAGGGGTTCGTGGATTCATAGGCTTGAGCTAGTTCTGGGAGCTTCAATATACATCGTGCGTGATGCAACGCCATCAACCTTGGTTACTCTGGCTGGCACAATGGTCCTTAGTGGATTATGTGTTTGATAAAGCTGATAACCGTCTCTTGTTGAAATTAGAGGCTACTGTACTGAAATTTGGGTGGATGTTGGCCTTTCGACCCTGCTTTGAATTGGCAGAATTAAGTTCAGGGACAAACTGAAGCAGAAATGCTAGGTCAGACATCCCTAAACAGGTATGAAAGCTTGCCTCTAGGTTCTGGCTTTGTGGACTGTGCCCGTCTCTAGTTATAGAACCTCACACAACTCTCATACATAGTCTCCACTGTAGAGACAGGCCTTGTTTTTAGTGTTTTATTTTCTATTTGATACAGGAAAGATCTTGAGCTACTGGTGTTTCAGCCCTGGGTACAGCATGCACGAACTCGTCCGTCAGGGAGTCCGGACAATCATTCTCACAAGTGGAACCCTCTCCCCACTCTCCTCCTTCACTATGGAAATGCAAATGTAAGCTCGTTTCTTTGTGTCACAATAAAGTCATTAGATGGCTTTATCTACTGTGTGTGAGCCAGCCTTATGGGTCTTGTCTCATGATTTGTGAATGCTTGGGGTTGGAAATGAAATGTTAGCTTAGAATTGGCATGAAGACGATGGCTAGGAACAATTTCTCTCCTGTTTCCTCAGTCCTTTTCCTGTTTGCTTGGAGAATCCACATGTTATTGATAAACACCAGATCTGGGTGGGGATAATTCCCAAAGGACCAGACGGAGGTTTGCTCAGCTCTACCTATGAAAAAAGGTAATTAGCTCTTCCATATAAATACTGCTCTGAGGTCTTGGGTATTAGAATATAAATTCTTTAAAAGACAGTGCTTGTGGAATCTGCAAAGTTTTCTTTTTAAATATACAGACTGCTAATTATTAACTGGAAGCAACAGCACATGAGATTGTAGAGAAATGTTAGGCTGTTTCTGCTTTTCAGTTTGTGCTTAACTAATCTGGAAAAATACAGAGGATTTTTGTGCTGGGGGAAAAAAGAAATGTAAATGCTGTGCCTAGGAAAGTGAAGACCTAACATAAAGATTCCACCTTTTACAGCCTTCTTCTAGTCTGTAATGTCATTTTTTACTTAAAAACCTATTTGTAGAACCTTAAGAAGTCATTTCGTGCTTTGAATGCTTTTTGTCAAGACTGTTAAGTAAAATAACTGAGTAGCACAGTTGTGTTGGGGCCATTGTATTCCCTTCTGTGAATGGTTGTTTAAAGAGAGAATCCCTTCTAAAGTTTCTGGGTTGAGGGAGAGGTTTTTCTGTCCATCATACACATTTTTCTATTTTAATTACTGTTCCAAACTATCTAAAGCAATTAGATCCTGATACATTTTTCATCCATTTTATGTTCAACATTATATATACGTTCCTCCGCTGCATATGGCTTGGGTTCAGGCAAGACAGATGTGATCTTTTTCGTCATACCCAGAAAAACAAAACCATTACTCAAAGAAGACGTTTTACTCCTTAAGAGGAGCTATGTCAGAGATTCCATGAAGTTTGCTATTAATTTTAAGTGGAAGGCACTCAGTGATGGATGACAGTGTACAACCCTATATAAATATTGTATTGCTAATCCAAGAAATTTAGTTGCTCTACTATTTAAGTTTATTTTGTTGTAAGATACCACTGATTTTTTTCCTTTCCACAGTATATGATGTGGAGTAAGTAAAGCATACAGCATTTGATGTAATTCCTGCTATTTCTCAAGAGTAATAGCATCAGTATTTGTAGATCTTGTAAAAATGTTTCCCCCCTCACCTCTCACAGGGTTAATAAGAAAGCAGAGCATGCAAATCTGTCTGGAACTGCAGAGAAGGAAACAAAAGGAGATTAAAATAGGGAGCGAATATAGGGAATTTCCATAGAAACCAGCACAGAAAGAATTCTACTGTACAAGCAGAGTTGAGCCAAAGAAAAAACACTTGGGGACAGTGACTAATTTGGCTGTCGCTAGTAATACAGCAACCAAGCCCATCTCCTTTTTTCCCTGTGGCTTTGCACCACCACACCTAGTTCATCATCAGTTGTTTTAATCATCACAATGTTGGCAGCTTCTATAGATCGCTCTCTGGAATGATTCTGTTCCTTAATTTATTACTATTAATAAGAAGCCTTATTATATGGGGTAATGTGTACTCCCACTGACTAAAGGGTGATATGTTAGGACCTAGATTTTCTTCACTGCCGAAACCTAATATCTCCAAATTGTTCCTGTTGCTGTTGTTAGAGATTGCCTGATTGTTCCTACCAGTCTGGGCCTTGGATGCTGCTGACATGTAATGTACAGAAAGCTAGTTGTAGGAAGCTAGTTGTTCCTCCAGTTCTATGTAGTGTTTGGCTCTTGTTGAGCAATAAGTAATGTCTTGCACTAGTTGTGTCCTGTATCAGCAGATCATAGAGTCAGGAAGCATCTGGAGGGAGAGCCTCTTTGGTCTTTTCTTAGAGGACTGTGGGCTCATCCTGCAAAGCAAGGTGGGAGGAAATGGGTGAAGAAAATTTGAAATAATTTGCTGGAAATAATTCCTGAAAATTACTTTGAGATTTGTCCTTGAGTAAGGGAGTGAAGGCACAGGAGAGGGAGAGAGGATGCAGCTTTATGAGTGCGTTCATTACTCCCAACAAGAGTGAGTTGAGAAAAGGAAATATGATGGTGATACTGATAGATATTGTCGTCTTTGTAGGTTTTCTGTGGAATGTCTGTCGTCTCTGGGGAAAACAATAGGTAAGTGAAATATATTCAGATTCAGGAAACAAGCTTCTGCTCTGGATTGTTCATAAACCTGGTGTTGCTCAGGTCCTTAACTCAGATAACTTCTGTTTTTTCTTCATTTAAATCTTTGCTTTGGGATCGAGGGGTTCCCCAACGCAGGCTGCCCTGAGGAGAGAGGACAACCCCAGCCTTCTCTCACCAGAGTAGCTTGGGGGCCAGGTGAGAAGTGCCTCCCCATGGCCGCTGCAGCAGGCACAACTGGTGGAGGGGGTGCATGTCCCCAAGCTGGAAATAGACACAAACTCACTCTCTGAAATATATAGTAGATAGTTGTCCCTTTCTCCACCCTGCCCCCTGCTGGCCCAATGGGATTATAGTTGTCCCAGTCCCCATCTCTGGCCCCTTAGTGCCCCCTGTGGTCATTATACAGTATTACTGTCCCTCCTGCCTTTCCATTTAATAAGAAAAGGTTGAATTCCAGGCACATCCCATTGTCTTGGCACAACCAAACCTTGACCTTGCTTTAAGTTATGATAAGAGAAAGCTGCGCACCAAATTTGGTCCTAGCTCTTACTGTTTAGGAGGAGTTCTTGAGCAAGCAGACTCGCAGATGGATGGACAAACAGATGCATATTTATAAAAAATATATAGTAGATGAGTGGGGAATATGACTTGGGGTATGTCTACGCAGCAAAATTATTTCAAAATAACAGCTGTTATTTTGAAATAACTTTACTAGCATCTACACAACCAAACTGCTATTTTGAAATGAATTTGAAATAGCGGAGCGCTTATTTCAAATTTGGTTACCTCATTCCACGAGGAATAACACCAAATTCGAAATAGCTATTTCGAAATAAGTGCTGTGTAGACACTTATTTTGAAATAGGGGGCCTCCAGCCTTCCCAGGGTGCCCTGATTTTGAAATAACTTTACTAGCATCTACACAACCAAACTGCTATTTTGAAATGAATTTGAAATAGCGGAGCGCTTATTTCAAATTTGGTTACCTCATTCCACGAGGAATAACACCAAATTCGAAATAGCTATTTCGAAATAAGTGCTGTGTAGACACTTATTTTGAAATAGGGGGCCTCCAGCCTTCCCAGGGTGCCCTGGTGG